TCCATATTTACTTACTGAGTTTATCTCATAGTTTTTCCTTGTCCACCATTTCAAGAAGTGAAACCGAGGACGGGGAAACCACAGGAAGTGACGAGTTAGAAGGCTAGCCATATTGTAATTGGATATAGATTTTCAAAATAAATCATGATCTTGTAAGCTAGAGTGTATTTGGAGATTTTATGATATGAGAGAATTTTATAATTTGATCTTCAGATTTTGGTGGTATCAGAGTGTGATATGATAAGTTCTGAGCCTTGTGCATTTGTGGGACCCTCTCATGAGTGCACGGCGTCTGTCGCGCCTCGAATTCGGGTTTTGGGGCGTGACAAATTATGTTCTACATTTGCCAAATGAAGGAGCTGAGGAATTAAATGCCTTTACAGAGGGTTCTGTAGAGAAAGTTATAATGGGGGAGATTGGGATGAGGCACAAACATTAACCATTCACAACTTGAATTTGGAGTATCGGTTAATGTTTTGGATATACAATCACATTATTTGCCAAGGCAAGGGTCATTTGGAAAATTTAGTGCCCTAGATTGTGTGTGGTTTGCATATATTGTTGGGCAAAGACGGATCAATTTAGGACACCATATAATGAGGCATATGGTGTATTTTAGGAAAAGAACGACACTGGCACTGGTGTATGGAACGCTCATCACATTACTAATGGAAAATGCGGGGGTTGATTTGTGTGGGATGGAGTCTTGAGACCTCTATAGTCACAAGCTTTTTAATGAAACTTCGCTAAACAAAATGGGTTACGTATACAATGCAAGAACGAACTCTTGGGAAATGAAGCAGAAAAAGAGGAGAGGAGGACAAGATGAGGAAGGTGAGGAGTTTGAGGAAGAAGAAAATCCAGAAGACATTGAAGAAGGAGCTCCCTCACAACCTACTTCATATGAAGTTCTTCAAATATAAGCACAAAAAGAGGAATTCAACTCATTCTCAAGAAGTTTGCACACATGGAGAGGAAGCTCGATGAGCACATTCAAGAGTGTCAGATGGCAGAACCTTCTCGTCCTCAAGTGAGAATGGGAGATCTGTCTACTGGTGGCCCATCATCATTACAGGAACCAACCAATCCCATTTCACATCCGGAAGCATAAAAATATATGGTTCCAATTGTTGATGCCTTTTCAATTAACATTTTACTATTTGAACTCTATGTTTGAAGGTTCTTTCTTTTCTTTTCTTTTTTATGTTTTCAGGTTGAAGTTTTCCTTATATGTAAATATAATGTTGATAGTAGATTACTTTAATTTTAATGAATTTTTATAAATGCCTCTAAAGTGATTGCGATGAGTATGTCTTCATTGACTATGTGGTTGATGTGCTTACATAGAGGGACAAAAATTCATTAGTTCATGGTGTGTGGGATGGGTAATTTGGTTTGTGGTTTAAAAGGTTGTTGTGCATGTGTTAAGAGGAGCTTTGGCTGTTATGCTTGTGTCCTTTTTTTATCCAATTTTGAAATGGGGGAAAAAGTTGATGGATTTGGATGATTTACTCTATTTGCTTTAGAGTGGACTTTATTATATAAAGAGTCGACTACCAAAGTCGAGCAAGTATTCATTCTATGCAGCTAAAAATCGACTCTTCGTAAATAGATTCGACTCTAGTTGCTTTAAAGTCGAACTAGAGTCGAATCTACGATGTGAATAGTTGACTACCAAATTCCAATAAGCAAGGAATGCATTCAGTTCAACTCTTAGTCGACTCTCTATAAATAGAGTCAACTCTAGTTGCCTTAGAGTCGACTCTAGTATGTGAAGAGTCAATTATCAAATTCTAGTAAGCAGCCCATTCATTCAGTTTAGCCAATGGTCGACTCTATATATGTAGAGTCGACTTTAGTTGCCGTAGAGTCGACTCTAGGATGTGAAGAGTTGACTACCAAATTCCAATAAGCAGTCCATTCATTTAGTTCAGCCCATAGTCGACTCTATATATGTAGATTCAACTCTAGTTGCCTTGGAGTCGATTATATAATGTGAAGAGTTGACTACCAAATTTCAGTAACACTACTAGAAATTTTAGATGTTCAGACCGACATAATTCAGACCAACAAAAAATGGTATGGAAAATATTTTATTCAGACCAAAATTGGTCTGGATATTTATTGGTAGGTCACACCAGCTCAATTGATTATATTCAGACCACAAACGGTCTGAAAATAATTGGCAGGAGTACAGTAAAATGCGTGAAAATATTTAGACCAATTATGGTCTGAATATTTTCAACAAAAAAAAAAAAACAACAACAGTGATTTGCGGTGCTAGATTTTTTTAAAAAAATTTCCAGACTGAGAATGGCCTGAAAAATGGTGAAGTAATTTTTTGGTAGGTGAAGCAATTTTATTGGGTATATCCGGACCAAGTTCGGTCCATATTATATGTAGAAAATTAGATATCCAGACCAAGTTTGGTCCAGATTATGTGTAGAATATTTGCTTTATTGTGACATGACGGTAGCTAGCTTTTTGACACTTTTTTCCGGACCAACTTTGGTCTGAATTAGTTGTAGAAAAATGCAGCCCATATCACCTTTTTTTCAGACCAATTTTGGTCTGGATTATTGGCAATAATCGACATTTCCCGGACTGTTAATTGTCTGGACATTATGGCCCAACGTGCATCTGCTTTGAAGCAATTTTATTGGGTATATCTGAACCAAGTTTGGTCTTGATTATATGCAGAAAATTAGATATCCGAACCAAGTTTGGTCCGGATTATGTGCAGAATATTTGCTCTGCTGTGACATGATGGTAGCCAGCTTTTGACACTTTTTTCAGACCAACTTTGGTTTGAATTAGTTACAGAAAAATGCAGCTCCTACCACCTTTTTTTCCAAACCAATTTTGGTCTGGATTATTGGCAATAATCTGCTTTTTCCAGACTGTTAATGGTCTGGAAATTTTGGCGCAACGTGCATCTGTTTTGAGATGACGTTGGGTCAGCTTTTGACCAATTTTTGGACCATTGTTGGTCTGAAAAAATTGCAATCTGCAGATTCTCTTCTTCCCCATCCCTTCGCCTGTTTCTCATTTCAGTTTCTCATTTTCCTCCCTTCTCTCACCATTTTCTACACATGTTTCTTTCTCCATTATCTACTTGCTGTCTACAAAGGTAAGGGTGATTTTCCGGTAGGTTAGACGCCAAAAATCAGTCCCTTTATTTATTTATTTATTTTTCAACATTTTCACAATTTTTTTTCTTGAAATCCAGCACTTTCAACCAGGATCTTGCAATCTAAGGTCATTCTCACCATCATTCATCTCCGATCTACGCCCTAAGTAAGTTTTTTTTTTTTTCGAAGTTTTCTTGAACTTTTCTACATTTTTTAGGTAATTAATAAAATGTAATTTTGATTAAATAATATTGTAAAATTGATGTTGTTCGTGTAGATATATAATTTGTATAATTATAAGTATGGTATAAAATTTTATGGTTTAGAAAAAATAATAGAACTTGGTATTTTATTTACTTTAATATAAATAATTTATAAATTTT